TTTTTTTGCAGGCAGATCAAGTTATAAGATAGGCCATATTGGTCCACGATGTCGTATAGTCTCATGCTACCTCCAAATATACGGCATTTTGATGATTTTAGCCACATTTTTCCATAGAATTGTCTGAAAATCCAAAATCTTTATGAGTACTTAACCCCCATACAACGTTCCCTACGACATTCGGTATTTTGATTATTTTAACGATATTATTCGCCGGAATTCTTTCAAATATCGTATTTGAAGTTCGTAATGGATACTACAACCTATAACGGAAAATTGTCTAGGTAGGTCAAGTCCTCATATAGCCCACATATAACGGCACCTCCCTTTTTACCGAAATTGTTTCAAATTTCGTATTTAAAGCTCGTAATGGATACGTTTAAATTTGCAGTTAAACGTCTTCATAAAGCCCTTATATAACGGGTTTCCTTCGAGCGGAACTTAGCTACTTTTTTTTCTTATACATAATTGGAGGTCTAAAAATATTATTTAGAACGTCAAGACTCGTTCTCTAATTTTCGATTAAACAGTGCGACATGCGTATCGGCGTTTTGAAAGTTTACATCACAAAGTAACGAAAATTGAGGGGGCAAGTACCTTTCATTTCCAAATTTCGATTATACTGTGCGACAAATTATTTTTTTCTAAAATTACAGTGAAAATATAACAAAAATAAAATATAGAAGACACCTGTATCGGGCTTTAGAGGATGCCTGTTCCCCCACTACCTCATTTTTTTTAAATTTCGGAACTAAGATAGGAATCCTTATTGCAGATTACAATACGAGAATCATTCTGGTTGAAAATTTCAATCCCCAAGGGGTCTTTTTGGTCCTTTTTTGAAAATATGGTTTGAAAATCTCTTTAAATGGGATCGTAGCAGATCAAAATATTCTATGTTTATCATAAAATTCTACTATTGGTCCCAGAAGATATCAAAATTCTAAATCGTACCTAAACGCCAGCAATTCATATATAGTAAGCAAAACATTTTAGGGTTAAAGCGGTATTTTTTTGAGTTTACACCAATCTTTTTTGAGTTTACACAAAATCTCCAATAAAGCATCACTTAAGAAGAATGATATCGAAGACAAAAATATTCGTCATCAGTTTTATATTATACAGATAATAATACTAGAATTATTCTGGTTCAAAATTTTAATCCTCAAGCTACCCAACAAAGGGGTCTTTTTGGTTGTTGTTGTTTTTTTTTTTTTTTTTTTTTTTTTTTTTTTTGAAAAAAAAGCTAAAAACTCCATTTACCCGAGATTGTAGCAAGTCAAAATATCCTAAAATTCTACTATAGATAGACATCAAAAGTCTAATATATCATATATTATGTTTTTTGCTGTTAGTTCTATACATTTGAAAATATCTTCTTTAAAGCTTTATTTTAGAAGGTTAACATCAAAGACAGAAATAACCTCCATCAAATTTTACTATAAGTCACCAAAGGGGCGAAATCTCTATCTCCATCATATATCAAGAAAATGTGAGTATCAATGTTGCTATATAAAAAACGCGATAATATTTCACATAGTTTTTATTGATTTTTCTTCGACATTTTTCGAGTTGAAAGTAATATAAAACCTCATTTTTGGCAGAAAGTGTAAAGAAGGGAAATATTCTACAGCAAATTTCACTATAAGTCACGGAAGAAACTATGTAGCTTGAAACGATAGTTTTTAAGAAAATTATATTGAAAATATATGTAAATATTATACGTTGAAATTATATGTTTACGATTTTGATTGCTAATTATATTCAATTCCAAAATTCTCCTACAAGCAAACATTTTGGAAGGATGCCGCCAGAAAAAAAAGTGTTCTTCATCAAATTTCAGTATAGGTCACCGAAGAAGAGAAATCTCTATCTGCGTTATATACTAAGAAAATGTGGCTATCAATGTTCCTACATAAAAAAACGCGAAAATATTTTTTTAGTGATTTTTCTACGGCCTTTTTCGAGTTAAGGCATGAAAATAATATAAAACTTCAATTTTGTCAGAAAGTCTCAAAAGAAGAAATATTCAACACTATATTTCACTATAAGTCTCGGAATAATACATTTATCTAGCCGTAATAGTTTTGAAGAAAATTACATTCGAAATTTGTAAATTATAAGGGGAAATCATATATCATGTTTTTTTGCTTTTAGTTCTATACATTTGAAAATATCTCCTTTAAAGCTTTATTTTAGACGGTTTACATCAAAGACAGAAATAATCTCCATCAAATTTCACTATAAGTCACCAAAGAGGCGAAATCTCTATATCCACTATATATTAAAAAATAGCTATCAATGTTGCTACATAAAAAAACGCGAAAATATTTCCCATTTTTAAATCCATTTTTCTTCGGCCTTTTTCGAGGTGAGGCATGAATGTAATGTAAAATATCGTTTTAGGGAAAAATGTCAAAAGAAGTAATATTCTACACCAAATTTTACTATAAGTCCCGGAAGAAATGATCTACCTTGATTCAATAGTTGTTAAGAAAATTACATTGCAAATATATGCAAATATTAGACGTTGAAATTAAATATGGCCGATTTTGATTGCTAATTATATTCGACTGCAAAATTCTCCTACAAGCAAACATTTCTGAAGGATGACATCAAAGACAATAATATTCTTCATCGAATTTCACTATAAGTCACCAAAGGGAAGAAATTTCTATCTCCATTAGAAATCAAGAAAATGTGGCTATCAATGTTGCTACATAAAAACGCGAAAATATTTCCTACATTTTTGATTGATTTTTCTTCGGTCTTTTTCGAGTTAAGGCATGAAAGTAATATAAAACTTCGTTTTTGGCAGAAAGTGTCAAAAGAAGAAATATTTTTCACCAAATTTTACTATTAGCCTCGAAATAAATAATATAATAGATATAATAGTTTTTAAGAAAATTTTATTCGAACTTTATACATTACAAGTGGAAATTTTAAACTGAGGTTTTTGGTTGATAGCTCCAAATATTTTAAAAAAGCCCGTAAAACTTTATTTTAGAAGATTAAGGTCAACGACAGAAATATTCCTTATCAAATTTCTCTATAAGTCACCAAAGAATCTCCATTATATATCAAGAAAAAGTAGCTGTCAATATTGCTACAAAAAAAAAAAAAAAAACGCGAAAATATTTCCTAGATTTTTGATTGATTTTTCTTCAGCCTTTTTCGAGTTGAGGCATGAAAGTAATATTAAACTTAGTTTTTTGCAAAAATGGTAAAGAGGAGAAATATTCAACGCAAAATTTTACTACAAGTCTTCAAATAATCATAATCATATATCTAACTATAATAGTTTTGAAGAAAATTGCATTCGAAATTTATGTACAACAAGTGAAAATTATATATTGAGGTTTTTGGTTGTTAGCTCCATATATTTAGAAAAAATATTTTAAAACTTTATTTTAGAAGGTTAATGTCAAAGACAACAATATTCTCCATCAAATTTCATTGTAAGTCGCCAAAGAAAAGAAATCTCTATCTCCATTATAAATCAGAAAAATGTGGCTAACATTTTTGCTACAAAAAACGCGAAAATGTTTCCTATATTTTTTTATTGATTTTTCTACGGCCTTTTTCGAGTTGAGGCATGAAAGTAATATAAAACTTCATTTTTGGAAGAAAGACTCAACAGAAGAAATATTCTACACCAAATTTAACTATTAGTCTCGAAATAAACCGTATACCTGGATATAATAGTTTTTAAGAAAATTATATTCGAATTTTGTAAATTACAAGTGAAAATTATATATTGAGGTTTTTGGTTATTAGTTCTATAAATTTAAAGAAATCTCATTTAAGACATAATTTTTAAAGGTTAACATTAAGGACAAAAATATACCTCATCAAATTTCATTGTAAGTCGCCAAAGAAAAGAAATATCTATCTCCATTGTAAATCAGGAAAATATGGTTAACAATTTTGCTACAAAAAACGCGAAAATGTTTCCTATATTTTTTATTGATTTTTCTACGGCCTTTTTCGAGTTGAGACATGAAAGTAATATAAAACTTATTTTTTTGCAGAAAGTGTCAAGGGAAGAAATATTCTACACCAAATTTTACTATTAGTCTCGAAATAAATCATATACCTAGATATAATAGTTTTTAAGAAAATTATATTCGAAATTCGTACATTACAAATGCACTTTATTTGTGAAAATTGTTGACTTTTAATTTTATACATTTCCAATTTTCTTCAAATTCGTCCCTTATTTTTAATTTTTCAGGGAAAGTGTCAAAGGAAGAAATATTTTAGATCAAATTTCATTAGGAGTCTCAGAACAAAAGAAATGGGTACGCCTAATATGTATTTTAGAAAAATGTCATCAATTTTGGTTCATGAATCAAGTTTTTTTATCCTCGGCAAATTTTGCATATTTTGAATTCTCTGCATAATAAAAATAATAATATTAATAATATTTGGATAACCCTATAGGACCTTCTTTATAGATTTTTCTTCACAACTTAGAGTGGCCTTTTCCGATCCCTGAATACCGATTTTATTCAATTTTTCTGCCTCCTAATACTTTATTGGTACGAATATTTTTATTGCCAAAAAAAATTCGTAGGCATTTTTTAATGGAAAAAATTTGGACCTGAAGCCTTCACATTCTATCAAAAAAAAAAAAAAAAAAAAAAAAATGGGTCTTTGAGTACATTTGTATGTATGTCAATTGACTTTTGTTACATATCGATAATGTTTGATTATTGACATTTGAACAGTTGTCACACAATTGGTTGCAGTTGCATACTCTGTGTTGCACATGGGGTTGGAGTTGAAGCTGAACAAGTGTTTTCAAAATTTGAAAACTTCAAAATGACACTATATGTGTGTTCTGTGTTTTGAGCGCACTTATGTAAACTTCGGCATAACTCCCTAAAACAGATCTTACTTTCCTATATAATGCCCTTGAATTTCTTTGGAAAGGCATCACTTGCATTTGATCTCCCCAACGATCAACTTGCATTGAGAATTCAGTCATTAGAGTCAAAATGAAAATAAAATTATTCTTCCTCTTCGCCCTATTGGGTTCCAATGCGGTGGTAAATGGTTTCACAGTCAAAGGCGGTAACAGCGGTGGTTTATCGGCCAAACTTTGTGCCGCGGGTAAAACGCAATTCTGTGTTACGCCAGCGCCACCCGTTGTTGCACCTACAACAACATCAACAGGATCGGTAACTACGGGTACTACACCAACCACGACAGCTACTACTCCGACAACAGCTACAACACCCTCTACAGCTACGACTCCGACAACAACGGGAACCGGTACAGCAACGCCCACTACCACAGGAACCGGTACCGCAACAACGCCAACTGGTACGGGAACTGCACCTACCACTGGAACAACACCACCCACTAGCCCCACATCTCCAACAGCTACATCTTCACCTGCTACCTCAGAAGCACCTGCCACCTCAGCGCCTGATACTTCATCTCCTGACACCTCAGCACCTGCCACCTCCCCGCCTGCAACATCTTCACCCGCTGCCAGTCCTACTGATCCTCCAGCCTCTACCCGTTCTGAGGCTCTAGAGGAGGCTCTTGAAGAAGTCGATAACAATGAAATTCAGGAGAATGAAGATGACTCTGCTGTAGCCATCGCTCATGATGATGCTGACGCCGATGCCGACGCTGACGTCGCCGCCGCCGAAGACGATAGCGAACGTGCCAAGCGTCGCCGTGTGAGAAAAATTCGTCGTAACCGTCGTTTGAGACGTAATCGCAATCGTAAAATACGTCGTAATCGTAAGATACGCCGCAATCGTAAGATACGCCGTAATCGTAAGATAAATCGTAATCGCAAGATACGCCGCAATCGCAGAAAGCGTCTGCAAAGACGTCGCCGCCTGGCACGCCGTAACAGGAGGAGAAACAGGATGGGTTAAGCGGACACTTATGTAAATAAATACTGAACTGAAGGCACTATAACTGATAAGGGTATTTACAAATAATAAAAAAATAATTTAATAAAATATTTTTTTGAATTTTATTTCACTACTGCCAAGATATTTGGAAATTCGTACTATGGGGGCACAAAAGTACTAAATTCGTACCAGCTAAGTATTGGGGCTACATATTGAATTAAATGGGTATTGGGCAACCGATAAGAGACTCTCTGTTTTGGGAAGAAAAATACACGTCATTTAAGGTCTTGTAATTCTAATGCGGCGAATTCAGAAAAAGAATTGCAATCGCCGAAAATAAAAAACCAGCCTTTTTCATGTAAGTTTTTTAATAATAAATATTAAATGTACATATTTCTTTTGTTCGGAGACTCCCAATGAAATTTGATCTAGAATATTTCTTCCTTTCACAGTTTCTCCAAAAAATTAAAAATTAAGGATAAATTTAATTATGTTTGGAAACCTATCAAATGAAAAGTAAAAAATTTACGCAAATAAATTCCACTTCAAATATATGAATTTCGAATGTAATTTTCTCAAAAACTATTATATCTATGAACATAATTTATTCTGAGACTAATGGTGAAATTTGGTGTAGAATATTTCCCCTCTTTACACTTTTTGCCTAAAACGAAGTTTTATATAACTTTCATACCTCAAGTCGAAAAAGACCAAAGAAAAATCCATAAAAAAAACTGGACAATATTTCCGCGTTTTTTAGTTCAGCAACATTGATAGCCACATTTTCTTGATATATATTAGAGATAGAGATATATCTTCATTGGTGACTTATACTGAAATTTGATGGAGAACATTATTATCTTTGACGACATCCTACTAAAGTCATGCCTTATAGGAGATTTTGTAAAGAATATACGTAACTGTCAAAAATGAAATCACATAATTTCTACTTGTAATTATATAAATTTCTAATATAATTTTCTTAAAAAGTATTACATCTAGGTGTCGATTTTCTTCCGAAACTTAAATAATATTTCACGTAGAATATTTCTCTCTTTGACACTTTCTGTCAAACACCAAGTTTTATATTACTTTCAGGCCTCAAGTCGAAAAAGACCGAAGAAAAATCCATAAAAAACTGGGCAATATTTCCGCGTTTTTTTTTTTTTTTAGTGGAGCAACATTGATATCCACATTTTCTTGATATATAATGGAGATAGAGATTTCTCTTCGTTGGTGAATTATACTGAAATTTGATGGAGAACAATATTATCTTTGACGCCATCCTTCCAACATGATTGTTTGAAGGAAAATTTTGGAAGCGAATATAATTATCAATCAAAATCTTAAACATATAACTTCAACGTCTAATATTTGTTTGTATTTCGTAATGTAATTTTTTATCAAAACCACCATATCTAGGGGCAACGTTAATTCCGGAACTTATGGTGAAATTTGGTGCAGAATATTTCCCCTCTTTACACTTTCTGCCTAAAACGAAGTTTTATATCAAATTCATGCCTCAAATCGAAAAAGGCCAACGAAAAATCAATCAAAATATTGACTATATTCTAGCGTTTTTTGTTTAGTGGAGCAACATTGATAGCCACATTTTCTAGATATGTAATGGATATAGAGATTTCTCTTTGTTGGTGACTTATACTGAAATTTGATGGAGAAAAATATTATCTTTGACGCCATCCCTCTAAAATCATGCCTTATTGGAGATTTTGTAAGGAAAATACGTAACTGTCAAAAATGTAATCACATAAATTATGCTTGAAATTATATAAATTTCTTATTTAATTTTCTCCAAAACTACTATATGTAGGTGTCGATTTTCTTCCGAAACTTATAGTAATATTTTGTGTAGAATATTTCTTCCTTTGACACTTTTTTTTATATAACTTTCATATCTCAACTCAAAAACGGCCAATGAAAATCAATCAAAATATAGGCTATATTCTCGGTTTTGTTTTTAGTGTTGCACCATTGATAGTCACATTTTCTGGATATATAATAGAGATAGAGATTTCTCTTTGTTGGTGACTTCTAGTGAAATTTGATGGAGAACAATATTATCTTTGACGCCATCCTTCTAAAATTATGCTCTATTGGAGATTTTGTAAAAAAATATACGCAACTGTCAAAAACATAATCACATAATTTCCCCTTGTAATATTCAAATTTCGAATATAATTTTCTAAAAATCTATTATATCTAGGTGTATATTTTCTTACGGAACTTATCGTAATATTTTGTGTAGAATATTTCTCTCTTTGACACTTTCTGCCAAAAACAATGTTTTATATTACTTTCGTGCCTCTACTCGAAAAAGGAGTAATCCATGAAAAAATTGGCTATATTCTCGCGTTTTTAGTGTAGCAACATTGATAGCCACATTTTCTTGATATATAATAGAGATAGAGATTTTTCTTCGTTGGTGACTTATACTGAAATTTGATGAAGAACAATATTATCTTTGATGTCATTCTTCTAAAATCATGCCTTATAGGACATTTTGTAAAGAGTATACGTAACTCTCCAAAACGTAATCACATAATTTCCACTTGTAATTTCATAAATGTCTAATATAATTTTCTTAAAAAGTATTACATCTAGGTTTTATATTTTCTCCCGGGATTTATAGTATTATTTAGTGTAGAATATTTCCCTCTTTGACACTTTCTGCCTAAAATGAAGTTTTACATTACTTTCATGCTTTAAGTCGAAAAAGGCCATCGAAAAATCAATCAAAATATTGGCTATATTCTCGCGTTTTTTTTAGTGTATCAACATTGATAGTCACTTTTTCTGGATATATAATAGAGATAGATACTTCTCTTCGTTGGTGACTTCTAGTGAAATTTGATGGAGAATAATATTATCTTTGACGCCATCCTTCCAAAACGGTTGTTTGAAGGAGAATTTTGGAAACGAATTTAATTATCAGTCAAAATCTTAAACATATAATTTCAACGTCTAATATTTGTTTTTTATTTCGTAATGTAATTTTCTCCAAAACTACTATAACTAGGGGCATATTTTATTCTGAAAGTTATGGTGAAATTTAGTGTAAAATATTTCCTCTCTTTACACTTTTTGCCTAAATTTAAGTTTTATGTCACTTTCATGCCTCAACACGAAAAAGGCAAACAAAAAAATCAACCAAAATATTGGCTATATTCCCGCGTTTTTTTGTTTAGTGTAGCAACATTGATAGCCACATTTCCTTGATATATAATAGAGATAGAGATTACACTTCGTTGATGACTTACACTGAAATTTGATGAAGAACAATTTTATCTTTGACACCGTCCTTCTATAATCATGCCTTTTGGGAAATATTGTATAGAATATACGTAACTGACATAAACGTAATCACATAATTTTCACTTGTAATTATATAATTTCTAATATTATTTTTTTTTAAAAAAACTATTATATCTTCGTGTATATTTCCTGCCGGGACTTATAGTAATGTTTAGTGTAGAATATTTCTCCCTTTGACACTTTCTGCCAAAAATCAAGTTTTATGTTACTTTCATGCATCAACTCGAAAAAGACCGAAGAAAAATGAATCAAAAATATAGGAAATTTAATCGCGTTTTTATTTTGTAGCAACATTGATAGACATATTTTCCGGATATATGATGAAGATAGAGATTTATCTTCTTTGGTGACTTATAGGGAAATTTTATGAAGAATATTATTTTCTTTGCCGATATTCATCCAAAATGTTTATTTGTATGAAAATTCTTAAATATAAAAGTATCAATCAAAATCGTTAACATATATTTTCAACGTCGAAGAAAAATGAATCAAAAATATAGGAAATTTAATCGCGTTTTTATTTTGTAGCAACATTGATAGACATATTTTCCGGATATATAATGAATATAGAGATTTATCTTCTTTGGTGACTTATAGGGAAATTTTATGAAGAATATTATTTTCTTTGCCGATATTCATCCAAAATGTTTATTTGTATGAAAATTCTTAAATATAAAAGTATCAATCAAAATCGTTAACATATATTTTCAACGTCTAATATTTGTAGGTAATTCGATTTTAATTTCCTTTAAAACTATTATATCTAGGTGTATAGGTTCTTCCGGGACATTTAGAAGAATTTGATGGAGAACATTTCTCCCTTTGACGCTTTCTGCCAAAAATTAAGTTTTATATTACTTTCATGCTTCAACTCGAAAAAGACCGAAGAAAAATCAATCAAAAATATAGGAAATATTTTCGTGTTTTTTTATTGTAGCACAATTGATAGCAACATTTTCATGTTATATAACGGAGATAGAGATTTCTCTTCGGTGGTAACTTATAGTGAAATTTTATGGGGAATATTATTGTCTTTGACAGCATTCTTCCAAAATGATCACTTGTAGGAGAATTTTGAAAAGGAAAGATAATTATATATCAAAATCGTAAACATATACTTTCAACGTCTAATATTTGTATGCATTTCGATTAAAATGTTCTTTAAAATTATTATATCTAAGTGCATAGTTTCTTCCAGGACTTATAGTAGAATTTGATGGAGATAATTTTTCGTTTGACACTTTTCGCCAAGAACGATGTTTTATATCACTTTCACGCATCAACTCGAAAAAAGAAAAATCAACCTAAAAATTTGAAATACTTTCGCGTTTTTTGTGGCAACATTGATGGACACATTTTCCTGCTATATAATGGAGATAGGGATTCATTTTCTTTGGTTATTTATAGTACAATTTTATGAAGAATATTATTGTATTTGACGTAATTCACACAAAACGTTTCTTTGTAGGAGAATTTTTAAAAATGTATAAAAGTATCAATCAAACATATAATAATTAATTAAAAAAAGTATCAATCAAACAATTATAAACATATAATTTTCACATATAATATATGAATTTCGGATGTTAATTTCTTAATAACTATTATATGTAGATATACAGATTATTCCGAGACTTATAATGAAATTTACTATAGAATAGTTAGTGTTTTCATACATTTTGTCTACA